CTCCTCCTCCTCCTCCTCCTCCTCCTCCTCCTCCTCCTCCTCCTCCTCCTCCTCCTCCTCCTTCTTCTTCTTCTTCTTCCTGGTTGAGAATAGTGATGCCTACCTCTTGTGAAGGAACTAAAGCAGTATAGATTCATCATTATTTAGCTAAGTTCCAGTCTATTTGAAATGTATTTAGCATTCTGCCATGTTCTGGGGGATTTGTCATAAACCTTTGATAAATATACTTAGTGCAAGTTCCAAAGACTGAAGTTCTGAATTCTCAGTGGGCTCAGATCTCTAAGCTTAGACCCGATTTGTCAAAACAAACATTTGGAGGTGGGGTGAAGAAACAAGAATACCAGAGATTATCTCTTTGGGAAGTGGCACTCTTTCTGAGTGGGTTTTGACAGCATTCTTTATCTAACTGAGCACGGAGTCTTCCCTTAGGAACTGGATGGAAGCATCACTAAGAAAACTCAAAATCTTGCTTTCTTTCTTCTGTCTCTCGTGGGCATTTGAAGTTGCCTTCAAAGGACTTCATCCTATTGCTGGTTGCCAGGGGCGCTTGTACATTTGGATAGATATTTTTTTAAAAAAGACATCTTAGTTAAATGTCGGAGAGAGCTAAATGTTAAAATTAAACGAGGGGAAAGGAGACACTGATAAACAAACGATACTAAGGGCCAGTTTGAGATACCCTCAACCCTATCACTAATACATTTGCTACACTAGTTTCCAAAACTTGGTGCCAGGAATGGTTTTTCTTGCTCCACCAATTGCCAAAACAGCTTATAACTGGTTTCTCTGGCTTCCATGACTTACACTGTAGACAACAGGGGCTCTCTAGACAAATTTAGGAGAGGTTGCAGAACTATCACAAACAATGAACAATATTCCACCTTCCATTTTATCTCGAGAAGTTTTCCAATGTTTAGAAAACTCTTAGGTGGAAAGTATGAGATAGATGAAGGAACTATAATTTTATGAACTAATTTAACTGAATCATAAGAATAAGAAGAGTAGAAATAACAGTAACCTTAACAACATACTGTTGTTAAAGAAGGCGAAATTGAAGAATGGTTAACAAAATATACCTAATAATGAAAGATCCAACAAAAGAGTCAGCACCAGGAAACTACAGGCTAATTACCTGCTTACGGACAACTTTCAAATTACTAACTGGTGTGATAGATGCATCTAGTTGAAAACAAGTTATTTCCACCCAACCACCCAAAGAGCAGAGGAAGAAAAGTTCAACTTCTAATTGACAAAATGATTCTGGAAAACTGCAAGAGAAGGAAAACCAACTTGAATGTAGCATGGATTGATCACAGGAAGACATTTGACTCCCTGCCACATGATTGGATAATCAACTGTCTAGGAACAACAGGAGTCAGTAGAAACACCAGAAGTGGTGGGCAAAGATCAATGGCACAATGGCAGACACAATTGCAAGTCAATGATGGTGAATGGGAGTGTGATGACCCAGGGTGGGATACAAAACAACCACAGTCACAGAAAACAGGTGAAGCCCCTTTTATTCCTTCACTTTGCTTCCAAGCTCCAAATATCCTTGACTGGAGACAAAAAACTCCCACACAAACAGTTACAAGAAGAAGGAAAAAAGCAACACAAACCAGGCAAGATAAGGGCTGGAGGATGTCCACAGATAACACACACTGGGAAGGATGCCAAACTCAGAGAGGAACCATAAACTAAAGGTATTTCCACAATTTGTTTCCAGTGTTTGCCTGTGCGCAGGTCCGTACTCTTATCCAGTTGTAACAGCTGCAGCCCATGAAGAGGATCAAGGGCCTCTCCTCCAGAGTAGACCACGCCTCTCCCTTATTCTCTCCTCCCTGCGTGCCCTGGATGGAGAGGGGATGGGCCTGGGTCCTCCTCTGACTGCTCAGCCGGCCTCTGCCCTTCCCCAGTTTCCTCCACAACCTTTGGAGCCACACTCCCACTCCCTCTCAGCTGTTCCTCCTCTCCCTCAAAGTCAGTCTCCACCAAGGGCATGACCAACTTTCATGTATTTATGAAAGAAATATATATATAAGATACATATAGGATACATATAAGAAAAATAAAAAGAAACAATAGGACAGGGACAACAGGCACATTGGTACGCTTATGCAGGCCCCCTACAGACCTTTTAGGAAAGGGGTGAGGTCAATAATAGACAGTCTAAGGTTAAAGTTTTTAGGGTTTGGGGAAGAAACCACAGAGTCAGGTAGAGTATTCCAGACATTGACCACTCTGTTGCTGAAGTCGTATTTCCTGCATTCAAGTTTAGTGCGGTTTACCTTGAGTTTCTATTATGTGCTCTTGTATTGTTATGGTTGAAGCTGAAGTATTCATTGACAGGTAGGACATTGCAATGTATGATTTTATATACTATACTTAGATCGGACCAAAGGCGGCATAGTTCTAGGTTTTCTAGTTCTAGAATTTCAAGTCTGGTGCCATAAGGTATTCTGCAACGAGTAGGGGGGTAGAGAACTCTTCTTTCCCCTTCTCATAGCTTCAATGGATAGTATACATTCCCACTGTTCAAGTAAGATACTAAGAGGATGCAATCCAGATTCGATCTTCCATTGCCCAATTGCCACTCCCTTATTGCTCAGTTTTAATTTTTCTAATGTCTTACAATGGTTTGAGTTTTATAGGGCAAGCGTTGGTTTGAGGAAAACCACTGAGATCTCTTTCAAGCCATGTTGTGGGTTGCAGGACCAGGCCTTCTCTAGAGAGAGGAGAACAATTTATTTATATTATCGAAGTGCAGCACAGACTATGTTTCGTGTACTTTGAACGCCATTCGGAAAGATTATCTCTGCATATGGAAGGGAAGGTCCTTAATTAAAGCAATCAACATGCTAATGGAAAGGGTGGAATAAAGGCTGAGAATAAAAGCTAATGGTAAAATTATGTTGGCAATGGTTTTTAATGGAACATTTACCTCCTTGCCTTTTGTTCGAATCAGATGAGTCATTTAAAATGACTACTTTCAGAAATTTATATATAGATAGGTAGTGTGATCTGTTGGCATTAAAGACTCACCTCCAAATTCTAGAAAGTCCAGATGTTACATTTCTTAACTAGAGACGTGGAAACTTCATTGTGACACATACTAGAAAACAATGGTTATAACTGAACAAGAGAACAAGAAAGGAGTTTGAAAAATCTTGCACTTGGTATAGAGAAATTTAGAACTGCCAAATTATTAAGGGGAAAAGAATGAAAGCTTATACATGTCCCCTATGTATTGTATCGTGCACTGAATTCTTCATACAACATTTTGTCCAGAATGCATTTCTGTCATCCTGTAAGTCTATTATCTGAATTGCAAGAAATTTCAGTAAATTAGACAGGTGTTTTTTTTCTCCTGAAAAACAAATCCAGTTCCTCAACCTTATTTCCAGAAATATTTTTATAGACAAGGAAGAAAATGCAATCGTTATATTATTTCATTTTTGGAAAAAGTCCACAGGTGTGCTAGTTAGAAATACGTACATAAAAATCCTTTTTTAAAATAGTTGCAGAATTTTTCAATGCTTAAACTCTACTTTTCCCCGACAAATTAAGGTTCCCTCTTCAACACCTGTTTCTTGGTTGGAGCCCCAAATAGTAGTTATTTCATGTTACAGCCATGTTAATTTGAATGCGTTTAGGAGGAACCTGGCTCTAGAACTCAATCCGTTTTCTTAAATGCTTGTATTTGGGTTTTTATTTGCCATACATATAAAAAACAATGTTGCCTGTAGAATCATCTTCACTTCTTCTAGTTCCTCGTCTAGTTTCCAGTAGTCCCAAAGATGCTTTTTCAAGAGGCAACTGGACTTTCCTGCTTTTTCCTTGAAGACATTTTGTCATGTCCCTATTGGAGTCTGAATCTGAGGAGGAAGCCAAACAGCTGACAAGGAGTGGGAGTGTGGCTCCATTGGCTGTGGACGAAACTGGGGAAGGGCAAAGTCTGGCTGGGCAGAGCAGAGAAGAGGTAGAACAAGGGAGAGGGAATTCAGAGGAAGACCCAGGCCCACCCCCTCTTCATCCTAGGGCACAAAGGGAGGGAAGGAGAAGAGACCAACGTGGGTTGTATGGCTTATGGGGGAGGAAAGGGCCCTGATTCCCTTCATTAGCTGCAGCTGGGAACACAGTTGTATAAAAAAAGGCAAGCTGTGGGCAGCAGGCTGTTGGGAGCAAACGTGACTTTATCTTGTATTGTCGTGGCTTATCTGTGTTCCTGGTGTCTTCTCAACTGTGTGAGCTTTGCCATGCTTTCAAGTCTGAAATTCTTGCTCCTGCCCTGCCAAACTAATTACTTCAGTTTGGCTTGTTTGGACTTTAAGTAACAGTTTGTGTTTACCCTGTTTTGGACTTAATTTTCTACAGTTAAAGGCTGTTCCTGGGAGAGTTTTTCTCCATCCAGAAGGTAACCTGGACATTTGGGGCAAAGTTGAAGATAATAAAGGGACTCTTCTTGATTATCTGACTGTGTTGCCTTTGTGCCATGCCCTGGGTCATCACACATTTCGCTTCTCATCCAAGAATCTTCTTCAGCTCCGGCTGGATGGTGTGGGGAATGGAAGGATTTATACTCCTTGCAGACAGCTCATTTGCATTCTTTTAAAGTTGTTGAGGCCACTTGGAGGTATGTCTGTGCCCTCAGGATCCCCTGAGTAGTGCAAATGGGTGTGGAGCCTTCTTAGAACTGTTGAAAGGACTGTGTTATGGACTGCAGATAGATGATATCGTAGCTCTCCCTCTCTGATGAGAGAGGAGCTGTTCAATTTTGATATAGATGGTCTCTTTGACCCTTCTTTCAAACCAGCGGTCTTCTCTGTCCAAAATCTGGATATTGCCCTCTTCAAGAGTGGCGTTGTCTTTTAAATGAAGGTGCTCTGCTGAATCTTGTCCTGATGGGTTTGTTCTCCTATGTTGTACCATGCATTTATGAAGTGGTTGTTTTGTTTCCCCAATGTACAGAACTGCGCATGTCCCGCTGCATTGTACTGCATATACCTTGAGAAAAAGCACCTTTGGGACAACCCTGACCTGGATGTCTGAGAATCTTCATAGACATCTGATTTCTGGTAGTTTCAACCCACTGGTACTTCCCAACTCCATTCCCTCACATGCACAACCGTCCTTGAGATAGATGAAGATGACAATCCTAATTCCTCTCACTCCTTCTTTCTGAAAGCCAAACACAACCAATTCCTTTCATCATTGTTTATAGCAGGGGTCTCCAACCTTGACAACTTTAAGACTCGTGGACTTCAACTCCCAGAATTCTGGGAGTTAAAGTCCACAAGTCTTAAAGTTATTAAAGTTGGAGACCCTCAGTTTATAGGACCTGATTCCTAGTCCTTCACTATTGAAATAGTCCTATCGTAGTTAGGGGACCAATTTGAGGTACTCCCAACCATACGATCTGACCTAGGCTTCCCCCAAAAGCACTAAGCAGACTTTTTGTCCCGGCAAAACCCCTTTTATTAAACAAAGGTGAATTTCTTGCATTCACATTCGGCCAAAGGCCTGGCAAACAGTCTTCCAAGGGTCTAATTAGGAGCACAGACCTTATCTAGCTTGGAGAGCTGCAAAGTAAATAGCTTCAAATGCAGTGCTGACAAGGAAGGACTCGGCACAGAGGCTCTGAGATGCACAGGTAGATCTTCACAGTACTGCAATGAACAAACTATTCCCTGAAAAAGTCCCCTCCCCTTTTGCTCCTCTTTTAATCCCTATGGGAGGGGCCATTCATCATTCACCTGTGGCCTTACTCCCACATCGACCCTTAGTTCGTAATTGTTATTTTCTTTTGGCAACTCTGTGCATGTGCAGACTGGGAACCAGCTCCGGCTGTTCTTCTGTCTCACTGATATCCGACTCTGAAGGCAGCTGATAACTGCCAGCCCGCCCTGGCCTATCTCTGCCTCTGATGCAGAGCCCTCATCCGAGCCTTCCTCAGCCTCCAGGACTGGCCCATATTCCTCCTCAACTTCCTCACTGTCCGACTCTGCTGCCAACTCCACT